TCAGTTTGTCATATATGGCCATTATTGTGTTGAGGTACATTCCTTCTATGCCCAGTTTGTTGGGGGGTTTTATTGTGAAGTGATGTTAGATTTTGTCAGATGTTTTTTCTGCATCAGTTGAGATGATCATATGGTTATTGTCCTTCATTCTGTTGATGTAATGTATTACATTTATCGATTTGCATATGTTGAATCAGCCTTGCATCCCTGAGATAAATCCTATTTGATCATGGTGAATGATCTTTTTAATATGCTGTTGGATTCAGTTTGCTGGTATTTTGTTGAGGATTTCTGCAGCAATGTTCACCTGAGATATTGGCCTACAGTTTTCTTTTTTTGTTGTGTCCTTGTTTGGTTTTGGTATCAGGGTAATTCTGGCTTTTTAGAATGAGTTTGGAAGAGTTCCTTCCTCTTCACTTCTTTGGAAATGTTTGAGAAGAATTGGTGTTAATTCTTTTTTGAATGTTTGGTAGAATTCAGCAGTGAAGCCATCCGGTCTTGGGCTTTTCTTTAATTGGGAGAATTTCTATTACTGATTGAATCTTGTTACTCGTAATTGGTCTGTTCAGGTTTTCTATTTCTTCTTGGTTCCATCTTTGTAAATGGAATGTTTTCAGGAATTTATTCATTTTCTCTAGATTTTCCAATTTTATGACATATAGCTGTTCATAGTAATCTCTAATAATCCTTTGTATTTATGTAGTATAAGTTGTGATTTCTCCTTTTTCATTTCTAATTTTATTTATTTGAGTCTTTTCTCTTTTTTTCTTGGCTAGTCTAGCTAATGCCTTGCTTTTTAAAAATCTTTTCAACAAAAACAACATTTTGTTTTGTTAATCTTTCTAATTTTATTTGTTTTGTCAATCTTTTTTTTTTTTTTTTTTTTTTTTTTTTTTTTTTTTTTTTTTTTTTTTTTTTTTTAAAATTTTGTTAATCTTTCTAATTTTATTTGTTTTGTCAATCTTTTTTTTTTTTTTTTTTTTTGTCTTTTGTCTTTTTTCCGTGTCCGGCAACGGATCACAACCCTCAGTGTTGCCCCCGTACCGGACCGGGGACCGGCAACGGGATCGCAAGCCTCGGCGTTGCTCCCGCGCCTCGCTCAGCCAGTGAGCGGGAGTCGGTCTGTATGTGGGATCCGAACCCTCGGATGGGAGCGCCGCCGCGCTTCCCAAGTGGCGCACTATCCAGTGCGCCACCGGGCCGGCCCCTTGTTTTGTCAATCTTTTTATTGTTTTTGCTGCTGTTTGCAATTTTGTTTATTTCTACTCTGAACTTTATTATTTCTTTCCTTCTGCTAATTTTTGGTTTGGTTTGTTCTTGCTTTTCTAGTTCCTTAAGATGCAGTGTTAGGTTATTTATTTGAAATCTTTCCACTTTTTGGATGTTGGTGTTCATTGCTATAAACAACTCTCTTAGTACTATTTTGGTTGTATCCCATAGGTTTTGGTATGTTGTGTTTCTGTTTTTATTTGTTTCAAGAAATTTTTAAATTTCATTTTTTTTTCCTTTTTGTCTTTTTTACTGACCGGTAACGGGATCGCAACCCTTGGTGTCGTGCCCGCACCGGGGACCGGCAACGGGATCGCAACCCTCGGTGTTGTGCCCGCACCGCGCTCAACCAGTGAGCGGGAACCGGTCTCCACATGGGATCCGAACCCTCGGCGGGAGCGCCGCCACACTCCCAGGCGGCACACTCTCCAGTGCGCCACCGGGCCGGCCCTAAATTTCATTTTTAATTTTTCTTTGACCCATTGGTCATTTAGGAGTATGTGGTTTAGTTTACATATATTTGTACAGTTTCTAGAGTTTCTCTTGCTGTTAATTTCTAGTTTTATTCCATTGTGGTCAGAGAAGATACATGATATGATTTCATTTTTTTAAGATTTGTTGAGACTTGTTTTGTGAACAATCATATGGTCAATCCTGGAGAATGTTCCATGTGCCAATGAGAAGAATGTGTATACTGCAGTAGTTGGATGGAATGTTCTGTAAATGTTTGTAAGGTCCATTTGGTCTATAGTGCAGTTTAAATCCAATGTTTCCTTGTTGATTTTCTATCTAGATGATCTGTCCAATGCTGACAGTGAGGTGTTGGAGTCTTCAACTGTTATTATATCGGGGTCTATCTCTCCCTTAGGTCTAATAGTACTTGCTTTATACATTTGGGTGCTCCAATGTTGGGTGCATGTATATTTACAATTGGTATGTCCTCTTGAAGACTTTACCATATAACATTATATAATGACCTAATTTGTCTCTTTTCTACAATTTTTTTTTTTTTTTCCGGTGTCTGGCAACGGATCGCAACCCTCAGTGTTGCCCCCGTACCGGACCGGGACCGGCAACGGGATCGCAACCCTCGGTGTTGCCCCCGCGCCTCGCTCAGCCAGTGAGCAGGAACCGGTCTGTATGTGGGATCCGAACCCTCGGCGGGAGCGCCGCCGCACTTCCCAAGCGGCGCACTATCCAGTGCGCCACCGGGCCGGCCCTCTTTTCTACAATTTTTGACTTAAAGTCTATTTTGTCTGATGTGAGTATAATACTCCTGCTTGCTTTTGGTTTCTATTTGCATGGAATATGTTTTTCCATCCCTTTACTTTCGGTCTATGTGTGTCTTTATGGGTGAAGTGAATTTCTTGAAGGCAGCATATAGTTGGACCTTGGGGTTTTTTTTTTTGTTTTTTTTTTTAATCTGCTCAGTCTATATTTTTTAATTGGGGAATTTAGTCCATTTGCATTCAAGGTTATTATTGATAGGACTTATTCCTGCCATTTTGTTGGTAGTTTTCTGTTTCTTTTGTTCCTTTCTTCCCTCCTATTGTTTACCAGTGCAGTTGTTTTTGTGTAGTGATAAGATTTGATTTCTTTTTCTTTCTTGTTTGTGTACCTGCTTTACTGTGAGTTTCAAGGATAGCTTTGCTAGATATAGTAATCTTGGTGGGCAGTTTTTTCTTTCAGCACATTGAACATATCATCCCATTGTCTCCTGTCCTTTGAGATTTCTGCTGATAAGTCTGCTTTTAGTCTAATTGGGATTCCCCTATATGTGATACTATTATTTTCATTTCACAATGTACCTTAATTTCTAAGCATGTTTATGGCATATATTTATTTTAAGTAGTTTTGCACTTAAAAAAAAAGTTTTGGTTGAATCATGTTGCTTCTTATTAGCAGTAATGGTTAAAAATGGGATTCTTGGAGTTAGGCAGACCTGAGTTTAGATCTTGGATCTACTCTCAATAGTTGTGTGACATTGGGCAAGTTATTTAACCTCTGCTTCATTCCCTTGTCTGAGAAAAGGAAATCATAGTAGTATATACATCATAGGGTGGGGACAATTAAATGAGTCAGTATGTGTAAAGCTCCTGGAAGGGTGCCTGTTACATAGTAAATACTCAATAAACCTAAAATATTAATTCTTACTCCTTCTCCTCCCTTCAGCCCTTGATAATTTCATCTCTAATTCTCACCCATTCCCTGTAGTCAGTATCCCCAGTTTTTCAACTCTACTCAAAGTTAACAAATAGTCTTTTAGGGTCTGCTGTACGTAATGTATTACTCTTAGTGCATTGGGCACATAAAGGTCCATTTATTCATCCTCTCAGTAATTTGTTTGCATGCTGGAGGTACACCGAGAATATGACAGTGAACCTAGACCTTGCCCTCATTGAGATTGAATGAAGATGTTTTCAAGGTGCAAAGGGCATGAGAAGGAGCCTGCAACTCACCAGAAAAGACAGGACAGGCTTCGTGGAGGGGGTTCTGCTTGAGCCACGTAGAGCTTTGCCTAGATTGATAAGGCTGGAGTGACAGTCTAGGCAGATACCGGCACTAATGACTCTTGGAACCTGCCCTTGCTTCTTTTGGGCTTTTGTAAATAGTGTGGCTTGAGCATTGGGCACTTATCAGGTGATATCAGGCAGGGCTGCTCTTTGTTCCCACTTCATCCTTAGACTTGGGAGCCTGTCAAGAGGTGTAAGCAACAGAGAAGGGAGCTTTTATTTGCATTGTGAGAAGGTGACTTGGGCGGAAGGTGGGAGGTAGGAAGGCTAATTAGAAGAGAGGCTGAGGAGAGCTGTAACCCTAGAGTGAAAGGGGACAGTGGTAGTGGGAAGGAGAAAACGGGATGTGTGAGTCCCTTTGAGGGCAGGACCAGCTGTCTTGACTTCTCATTGTGCCCAGAGCCTGGACAGTGCCTGGCACAAAGGATGCAAACAGCAGATGTCTTCCAAATAAACGAATGAGGCACTCACTAGTTTGTTAGCCAGGATTCCTGGTATGGCAAGAGGACTGGGAGCGTGTGGTCACCTGGCCTTCCCAGAGCCCTCCCCACATGAAGCTGGCTGTGGGGTGGCAGGGGTGAGGATTAGTAGAAAAGCCTAGCAACTTAACTTGTTTTCCTTGCTCATCGAGGAAGTGAGCCTGCGAACTGATCTTTGGTGGGAATTCGCAGGTGTGGGAAACCATACCCTTAAGGGGAAGGGAAAGAACACTCAACCCTGCTCATGGGCCTGGTACTTCTCTAGACAAGGCATCCCACTTGATCTCTACAACAATCCTGTTAGGAACTGGAGGGCTGAGATCTCAGAGAATGTGCAGCCACCCAGGAACACCTCCAAGACGAGGCATGGTCTCTTTGAAAGCCTTGTCTTCCTTGGGCATGTCTGGAGGATCAGACCAGACCCAAGTCTTCCCTGACATGCCAGTCCTGGTTGATGCATCCAGCCCTCTTCCTGCTGCCACCTGCCCCATTTGTCAGTGCCACACACCTGTGAGTGCAAACACACTGTAGTTAAGGCAGCTGTGCCTCCTCATCGAGGCCTTCCAGCTTCACCATTCCTGTATCAAGTCTACATACAGTGTCAGGCTTAGGAGAAAGGTTGCAGTGGCCAGACTTGCTAATTACCTGAGTAGGAAAAAGTTGGGATAGGCCAGAGACCAAGAGAATGCTGAGAGTGAAATGTGAATGGGAGCAAGAGTGACTTGCTCTCACCTGCTCAATGATCCAGCAGCTCAGGGGTACATGAGCACCCCTGAAGATGTAAGCCATGTCTCAGGCACTTTCAGATCATACTCACCATCCATGTGGGATCTTGAGGGTAAAGGTACTACTTTTGGCAAGTGACATCTCAGCTCTCTAATCCTTTAAAGGGTCTAATAAAAGTAGCATATCCCAAAGAACAGTTCTTGTTTCAGTTGAAGGGAGAACCAACAATAGCCCTGCAAAAAAGGAATCTATAACCAAAGAGGACAGCTTCTGTTCAGTAACTGCCGATTCTCTGGAGTGAGTTCCCACACGCCCTAGGAAGGGGTGGGAGGGACAGGCTGTCCTTCCCCAGCCCTTCACAGATGTGGGACATGCTGTCCCTGAAGTAGCACTTAGCGTATTCTGTGGCATTGGCAGGTGCTTGTTACATGTTTATTAAATTAGTGAATCTTAAAAGGAAGAGTGCATGTAAGAGAGAGTCTCATTTGAACATGTTGAACAGAAGGTGCTCTGGACAGCAGGCGGCAGGATATGAGTCCAGAGTTCATGATCTCAGTCAAAATATGGAGTGGGGGGAGCAGAGGAGAAGAAGGCGGCTGGGGAAGAAGCTCCTACATCTTTGACTGTTATCTTTTTTGCAGAATCTGTATCTCTAGCTGAGCCTTCTCTCCTGAGCTCATCCCAGTCTATCCCTCTCCCAGATGTCTGCCTCATATTTGGAATTTTCCAAACTCACGATATTTAAAACAGAGCACACCATCTCCCAAGGAAATGTGGCATTCCTCCTGACTTCCCGGTTCTTCCTAATTGTCCTGGAGTCTTAGTCCCCCAGCTTAAGCCATGATGTTCTCTTCGATAAAATTCAGTCAAATTTCTGCTGCCCAGAATGTTTGAAATTGAAGGTTTTAATTTCTCTGTATTAAATTAAAGGGAAACAAAGGTGCTTGTTTAAAAATGTCTTTGTAAACTATTATAATGTAGGGCTGGCCACTTAGCTCAGTTGGTCAGCGTGGTGTTATGACAGCAGGGTCAAGGGTTTGGATCCCCATGTCGTCCAGCTGCCAAAAAAAAAAAAAAGTACAGCTTTTCCCATCATTCTTGTCTCACCACAGGATGTTCTTCTCCCAGATCTTCCCTTGACTTTCTCCCTTACGTCCCTCAGGTCTCTGCCTAAACATGACCCTGGCAGGGAGGTCTTCTCTGATCCAACCTTAGTCAAAATAGCACCTTTTGGGCCGGCCTGGTGGCGCACTCGGTAGAGTGCGGTGGCACTCCCGCCGAGGGTTTGGATCCCATATAGAGACTGGTCCGCTCACTGGTTGAGCGCGGTACGGGCACTACACTGAGGGTTGCGATCCCATTACCGGTCACGAAAAAAGACAAAAAAAAAAAGGAAAAAAAAAAATAGCACCTTTTTTGTTTTAACCCTGCTTGATTTTTTTTTTTTTTTTTTGTCTTTTTGTCTTTTTCCGTGTCCGGCAACGGATCGCAACCCTCAGTGTTGCCCCTGTACCGGACCAGGACCGGCAATGGGATTGCAACCCTCGGTGCTGCTCCCGCGCCTCGCTCAGCCAGTGAGCGGGAACCGGTCTGTATGTGGGATCCGAACCCTCAGGCGGGAGCGCCGCCGCGCTTCCCAAGCGGCGCACTTATCCAGTGCGCCACCGGGCCGGCCCTTGATTTTGTTTAGTATTGCTTATCACTATGTATTGGCTAATTTTTTTCTTATCACTTATCATTATCTGACTTGTTAATCTCTCTGCCTCACTTCAATGTAGGGGAGGGACCTTGTCTTTTTTACCATTGTATTCCCAGTGATTTGAAGGTGTTTGGTATATAGTAGGTGCTCAAAAAATATTTGTTCAACAAATATTTATAAGCAGCCCTATATAATATGTCATGTTAGATTTGGTTTATAAATTTGGAAACTGAGGCTCAACAGAGCTAATTACAAAAAGCCAACATCACATGGTTTCTTAATGATAGAACCGGTGATGACATCGCTTTGGAATTTTATACTTCACGGAGTTGCTTTCCAAATAAGACGAATAACTATAAGCTTGTGTTTGTACTCATCATAGTTACCCAAACTACCCACACAAAAATAGTAAGATACATTAGTGGAAGTAGTTGTAATTGAATATTTCTGACCATTAAAGAAAATGCCTTTTTTTCCCCCCCAAATTTAGGAGGATATGGCAAAAAAAGTGGTCGCAGTAAAAAGTGGAGGGAGATGCTGAAGCTGCCCCCTGTCAGCCAGTGCAGCGAGCTTAGACATTCCCTCGGTGAGTAAATAGTGCTCACTAATGTGCAGAGGGGACATCCAGCATTGTACCATTCATGAGGTGTTATTCCTCTTTGAGTTCTGTAAACGTTTCAAAAATTTGATGATAAATTCTCCTTATATCTTCATGACTCTTCCCAGGGAAAAAACCCTTTAGATTTTCTGATGTGCGGTTATAAGGTATATGGCTGTTGACTTTTTCATTAAAAACGTTTTTTAGAAAAGTAATGTATGCTCATTGTTCTGTACGTAACAGAAGAGAAATAAGGTAAGAGTTGTCCTCGTCATGACCCAGCCAGTCATTCTCTACTTATTAACAGAAGTAAACACTGTTAAGTATTTCTTAATATCCTTCTAGACAGTCTTCTGTGCATGTTAAGAAAAATTATTGATGATCGCTTCAGGAAAGGATTAGTCAAATAAAAATATGGTATATCAGTATAATGGAAAACGTTGCAGCTACAAAGAATGAGCGTTAGCTACATGTCCTGACATAAGCACAAATCAGATATACAGCCATGTTTATAAGGCAATCATAATTGTATTTTTCAAGATGGAATTTCCAGTTCAAAGGGTACGCACATGAAAAATTTTGATGTTGCCAAAGTAACCTCCGGAAAGTTTGGATCAGTTTACCTTCATGCTGGTAGTATATGACAAGTTTTCCTTGTTTATGCTTTTGCTATAATACTGGTTGTTATCATTATTTTTAAGTCTTTGCTAAACTGCAATTTGAAAAATGGTCTCGTTTTAATTTTGGATGGGGTTGAGCATTTTCATTAGGTTTTCCAATTTCACTTGTAAAAGTTCTTTATGTATGAGTTATCCTTTTGCATCCAGTGTGAATATATCTTATAATTCTGCTTTTTACTGTTTGACTTACAGTATTTTTCCATACAGAGATTTTAATTTTTTACATAGGCAAATATATTAATCTTTTTCTTCTTTGCTTTTGAGCTTCGTGTTATACTTAGGAAGGACACCTTTATTCCAAGATTATTTTTATAAACCCATCATCTTTCTTTTAGTACTATTATTGTTCCTTTTTAAGAAAGTCTAAATATTTTAACTATCAAAATTAGTTTCAGATGGTATAAAGAAAGAAGTAGTTCCCCCGCCAAAGAACTACCCCATTGTTTTAACTAATTAAGTTTTTAAAACAACAGCTTTATTGAGATATAATTCACATGCCATACAGTTCAGTTATGTAACTTGTACAATTCAAGTTTTTGATATATTCATAGAGTTGTGCATCCATCACTGCAATTGATTTTACAACATTTTCATCACCCCCAAAAGAAACCCCCACCCACTGGTAGTCACTCCCCATTCTCTCCTGCTACCTCTAGCCCTAGGCAACCATTAATCTACTTTCTGTCTCTATGGCTTTCCAAACTATTCTGGACATTTTATATAAATGGTGTGGTGCTTCGTGACTGGCTTTTTTCACTTAGCATAATGTTGTCAAAGTTTTTCTATGCTGTAGCATGAATCAAGACTTTACTCTTTTTGTTGCTGAATAATATTCCCTTTTTAAAATCCATTCTTCATCAGTTGATGGACATCTGAGTTGTTTCCATTTTTGGCATTATGAGTAATGCTGCTATGAGTTTAGGTGCAAGTTTTTTTTATTTTTTTGTGCTGGCTGGTACAGGGATCCAAACCCGAGACCATGGTGTTGTAAGGCTGCACTCTAACCAGCTGAGCTGTGTACAAGTTTCTGTCATGGTAAAATATACATAACAAAAGTTACCTTTTATTTTTTGTTTTTATTTAATTGTAATGTATTAATTGTACATATGTATGGGGTACAGAATTATATTTCAATACCTGTATACAGTGTGTAGTGATCCAAATCAGTGTAATTAGCAAATTCATCATTTCTTTGTGATGAGAACATTTAAGTTCCTCTGTTCTAGCCATCTGACAACATACAATAAATTATTGTTACTTATAGATGCCTAGCACTGCTGTACTCCAGTAGAACTTATTTTTCCTATCTAGCTGCAATTTTGTGTTCATTAACCAAAGTTCAGTGGCATTAAGTTGGATATATACCACCTTTTGTTTATTTATCTGTCAGTGGGCATTTAGGTTATTTCAACTTTTTTTTTCGATGGCCATCAAGCGTGGAAATCCAGATCCTTGACCATTGTGTTCTAATACCTCAGTCTAACCAAGTGGGCTAACTGGCCAGCCCAGTTTCTACTTTTTGGCTATGAGAGTAATGCTGCTAGGAACATTGGTGTGAAATATCTGTTCGCGTCCCTGCTCTCACTTCTTTTGGTATGTATTCAGAAGTGGAATTGGTGTGTCATATGGCAATTCTGTGTTTAACTTTTTGAGGAAATTTCCAGACTGTTTTCCAAGTGGCTGCACCGTTTTACATTCCCACCAGCAATGTGTTCAGTTGCTCCACATACTTGCCAACACTTTTTATTTTCTTTTTTCTTTTTATTACAGCCATCCTACTGTGTGTGGAGTGGTATCTCATTGGGTTTTGATTTGCATTTCTCCAGTGACTAGTGATATTGAGCATCTTTTCCCATGCTCATTGGCCATTTGTATTTGTTCTGTGGATAAATGCCTGTTCAAATCCTTTACCCATTTTAAAAATTAGGTTGTCCTTTTGTTGTTTAGATGTAAGTTTTCATTATATATTCTGGATACTAGACCTTTATCAGATATTTGATTTCCAAATATTTTTCCCCATTCTGTGTGTTGTCTTTTCACTTTCTTGATGATGTCCTTTTAATATATTTAATGGTTCTTAATATATTCAGAGAGTTGTGCATACATCACCACAATTAATTTTACATCATTTTCATCACCCCTAAAAGAGACCCCACACCCACTGGCAGTCACTCTTCATACTTAAAAAAATTCAATTTTGATGAAGTCCAATTTATCTATTTTTTTCTTTTGTTGTTTGTGTACTTTTGGTATCATTTCTAATCCAAGGTTCCTGTTCCTCTAAGAGTTTAGCTCTTACATTTAGGTGTTTAATCCATTTGGAGTTAATTTTTGTCTATGTTATGAGGTAGAGATCCAACTTCATTTTTCTTATTGGATATCCAGTTGTCCCAGCACCATTCCTTGAAATGACTGTTCTTTCACCATTGAATTGTCTTGGCACCCTTATTAAAAATAAGCTGACTGTAAACATGAGGGTTTGTTTCTAGACTCTTGTAAGTGTACATCTGATTGCATTTAGGGCCCAACCAAATAATCCACGAGAATATTCCCTTGTCAAGATCCTTTACTAAATCACATTTGCAGAGACCTTTTCCCAAATAAGGTAATATTTACAGGGTCTAGGAATTTGGACCTGATATCTTGGGGGCCATTACTCAGCCTAGTACATATGGAAACTCTGTGTTTAACTTTTTGAGGAATGTGAGGAACTGTTTTTCAAAATAATGGCATCATTTTACGTTCCCACCAGCAATATTCCCCCACATACTCCCCAACACTTGTTATTCTCATTATAGCCATCCTCGTGGGTGTGATTTACATTTCCCTGATGACTAATGATGTTGAGCATCTTTTTATGTGCCTATTGGCCATGTGTATATCTTTGCTGGAACAATTGATATTTGATCCATAGTGTTAATAGTAATTTTTTCTGAATATAACATAGATTAGTATGGAGGTTGATTCTAACATGTGACATTTGCATTGTAATTAAGATATTGTGAACTTTTCTTTGGGACTATCTTTTGTGTGTGTGTGTGTGTGTGGTTGGATGGTATGGGGATCCGAACCCCTGGCAGCTTAACCTTGTTGGAGGTAGGGCAGAGAGGATCAGGGAAGGCATCCTAACTGGGCTATGAGGATGGGGTGAGAGGGATAGGAGAAGAATTTTCCAGGCAACAGGGTTCACAAGCACGAGGGCCACAGGAGGGGAAAAAGAACAGTAATTTGGGGCTGAGCCTGTGGCACACTTGGAGAGTGCAACGCTGGGAGCGCAGCAGCGCTCCTGCTGCGGGTTCGGATCCTATATAGGGATGGCCGGTGCATTCACTGGCTGAGCATGGTGCGGCCGGTCTCAAAAAGGACAAAAAAAAAAAAAAAAAGAACAGTAATTTGCAGGAACTTAAGAAAGGCCAGTCTTGCTGGAACAAAGACAAAGGAAGAGGGTGACATTGGATGGGGCAGAAGCAGGTGGCAGGCGTTGTAGACCTGGTAGAGGCTTTTCTCTCATTAGAGTTACGAAAAGTTAACATTGCCAGATTTGTAGCATAGGAATGATGTAGTAAGATTTACATTTTAGGAAAGTCTCTGAGGCTTCTGTGTGAAGGATGGGATTACAGGAAACAGCAAGACTATATAGAAGACTGTTGCCATTGTCCAGGCAAGAGATGACGTGAACTTGGCTGGGGATGGAAAAAACTTAGGAGGTGGAATCTGATAGATTTATGTGGGGAATAAAGAGAGGGGAGGGATTAAGGATGATGTCCAGATCTCCATTCACTGAGAGAGGGCACATGGGGACCAGCCTGCTGGGATGGAAGCTGTATATTCATGTTTAAAGCTCAGAGAAGTCTGGGCTGTAGATAGGAACCTGGGGGATAAGTATGTAGAGATAGCATCGAGAAGTCACAATACTGGAAGTGGATAGGAGCGAACAAAGAGTGAAAAGGGAAAGGCCCTTGACCAAGCTCAGAAGACCTTCCGTCCTGTTATGGCCCAGTTGAAGAGGATGTTGTGGCCAGGTGGACCAAGAAGGAGCATTCAGATGGATCTGTGTTGAGTTGGGGGGGGTCAATAGAAGTAGGGGCTGGGGTGGTTCCAGGTGGGTGGGCATGTCAGAGAGGCCAAGGAGCCACTGAATTTGGTTACAAGTTCAAGGTCTTTGTATTTTTTTTTTTTTCCATGCCTATAACACTACTTGGCCACAGTTTGTTTAAGTGAATGAACTGGTGACTTTCACAAGTGTTGTTTCTGTGAAGATGTACAAGCAGAAGTTTCTCACTGAATAAAACAGTGTTTCTACTGAGA